GGCGGCGCGGCTGTGCCGGCTGATGGAGCAGGACCCCGCGTTCCGCCGGGGGCGGCTGCGCTGGCTGCGCCAGGAGCAGGCGCGGCTGCAGCCCCTGCAGCCCCCCCGGCGCCCCCCGCGCTCCCACCCGGCCCCCCAGGACGGCAAGCTGCGCTTCCCCTTCAAGAGCAACCCCCAGCACCGCCTGGCTTGGGGCGGCGGGGGGGACGCCCCCCAAACCGAGCGCAGCCCCCCACCGCCGCCGCCCCCCGCCCGGAGGGGGTCTCTGGATGGGGGGTCGCCGCCGCCCCCTCCCCGTGTCCGCCGCCAGCGCTCGGCCCCCGATCTCAAGGCGCGGGGCCCCGTCCCGTAGGGCTGAGGGGTTCTGCGGACGCCCCCTCCCCTAAATGGACAATCACGCCCCCACCCACCATCGGGGGTCTCCCCGCCCGGGGGGCCCCCAGCTGCTGTCACACTGCCCATCCCCCCGCGTGTGTGTGTGTGTCTGTGGGCCCCTTCTTACGGGGGAGGCCCTAATTAATTAATGGCGATGCCGCTAATTAAACACAAGAGTCTCATTTCTGGCCCCCCCGCCCCCCCCGTTCTGGTGCCTCCTCGCTGCTGGCCCCGCCCACTCCAGCCTGGCAGCTCCGGGCCACGCCCATTGGGGCGGAGCTCAGCCCCGCCTCTTTCCATTGGTGGGCGTGGCATTAAATAAAACCCCGCCCCCCACGCAGGCAAAGCGGCGCTGGAACATCGAGTCCCGCCCCCTTTTGGGCGTGTCGCCGCCAGGCCACGCCCCTTCCCGCTCGTTCCCGCCCCCGTAGCCCCCGGTGCCCCCGGTGCCGTTCGCCATGAGCCGCCTCGGGCCGCTGCTGCTGCTGCTGCTGGGGGCGCTGAGCCCCCCCCGGGCCGCGGGCCAGGAGCCGCCCCCGAGCCCCCCGCCCCCCGCCCGCCCCAACGCCAGCAGGTAACGGCACCGGGACCCCCGGGACCCCCGGGAGGGGACGGGACCTCCCCCCGAACGTGGCACCCGGGACGGCACCGCCACCCCCGCGGACGGGGCGGGACAGCCTCGCCCGGGACCGCCCCGGGCACCGGGAGCCTCTCGCTCCGAGCCCCCCCCTCGGAACCGGGACCCCCGGGCTGGGTCTTCCCCCGTTCCGGGACCCCCGGGCTGGGGTCTTTCCCCGTTCCGGGACCCCCTTCGTTGGGGTTTTCCCCGTTCCGGGACCCCCTTCGTTGGGGTTTTCCCCGTTCCGGGACCCCCGGGCTGGGGTTTCCCCGTTCCGGGACCCCCGGGCTGGGTCTTCCCCCGTTCCGGGACCCCCGGGCTGGGGTCTTCCCCGTTCCGGGACCCCCTTCGTTGGGGTTTTCCCCGTTCCGGGACCCCCTTCGTTGGGGTTTCCCCGTTCCGAGACCCCCGGGCTGGGGTTTCCCCGTTCCGGGACCCCCGGGCTGGGGTCTTCCCCCGTTCCGGGACCCCCGCGCTGCGGTCTTCCCCCGTTCCGGGACCCCCGGGCTGGGGTTTCCCCCGTTCCGGGACCCCCTTCGTTGGGGTTTTCCCCGTTCCGGGACCCCCAGGCTGGGGTTTCCCCCGTTCCGGGACCCCCGGGCTGGGGTCTTCCCCGTTCCGGGACCCCCTTCGTTGGGGTTTCCCCCCGTTCCGGGACCCCCGCGCTGGGGTCTTCCCCCGTTCCGGGACCCCCGTGACCCCCGTGTCCCGGCAGGCCGGTGTGGCCGGTGTTCCCGTGCGGGGGCGACCATCGCGGCGAGTCGGGGTTCATCGCCAGCGAGGGCTTCCCCCGGCACTACCCCCCCGGCAGCAACTGCACCTGGACCATCACGGTACGACCCCCGACCCCCGGACCCGCAGACCCCCGGGAACCCGGACCCGCAGACCCCCGACCCGCGGGAACCCGGACCCAGAGACCCCCGACCCGCAGGAACCCGGACCCAGAGACCCCCGACCCCCGGGACACCTGCACCCGGAGACCCCCGGCGACCCCCGACCCTCGCCCGCTCACCCCGACCCCCGGACCCCCCGAGCACCCCAGGACGCGGGGGTCCCCCAGGTGTCCCCCCGTCCCTGCTGGCACTGCTCCGTGTCCCCCCGGTGTCACCCGAGGTGGTGGCACGCCGGTGTCCCCAGCGCTGCTGCTGCTGTCCCCCGATGTCCGTCCTGGCCCTTTGGTGTCCCCATGGACCCCTGGGGGTGGTGGCACCCCAAAGGGCCGGCTGGTGACACCCCAAAGTCCCCAAAACCCCATCAATCACCCCAATGTCCCCAAGGGCCGGGTGGTGACCCCAGTGTCCCCTGGTGTCCCCCAGGTGCCCAGGTTACCCCCAGGGCCCGGTGGTGACCCCAGTGTCCCCCAGGTGCCCAAGGTGGTCACCCCAGTGTCCCCAAGATTCCCCCAGGTCCTGGGGTGACCCCTGGTGACTCCCCAGTGTTCCCACTGACCCCTGGTGTCCCCCAGGTCCCCAAGGGCTGGGTGGTGACCCCCATGTCCCAGCGGTGTCCCCCGTGTCCCCCAGGTGCCCCAGGTCCTGGCGGTGTCCCCAGTGTCCCCTGTGTCCCCCAGGTCCCAGCGGTGTCCCCCGTGTCCCCCAGGTGCCCGAGGGCCAGGCGGTGTCCCCCAGGTCCCCCAGGTCCCAGCGGTGTCCCCCGTGTCCCCCGTGTTCCCCAGGTCCCCAAGGGCCAGGCGGTGTCCCCCAGGTCCCAGCAGTGTCCCCCAGGTCCCAGCGGTGTCCCCCGTGTCCCCCAGGTCCCCATGGGCTGGGTGGTGTCCCCCATGTCCCCGAGGGCCAGGCGGTGTCCCCCAGGTCCCAGCGGTGTCCCCCGTGTCCCCCGTGTCCCCCAGGTGCCCGAGGGCCAGGTGGCCACGCTGTCGTTCCGCGTCTTCGACCTGGAGCCGGAGCCGCGCTGCCGCTTCGACGCGCTGGCCGTGTTCGGGGGCCACGGCCCCGCGGCGCCGCTGCTGGGGCGCTTCTGCGGCACCTTCCGGCCCGGGGCGCTGCGGGCACCCCAAAACCGCCTGCGCCTGCACATGGAGAGCGACGGCGGCACCGCCGGCAGGGGCTTCCTGGCCTGGTTCAGCGCCGGCAGCCCCCCGAGCAACGGTGGGTGCGGGGCCACGGGGAGACCCCCGAGGAGTGCAGTGTGACGGGGAGGGAGCGCCGCCGGCGGGGAGCAGGGAGGAGCCCACGGGAGCGCCCCAAAACCGGCCCGAGGTGTGGAGAGATGTGGAACCCCCCCGGTAACGCAGCCGGGGTCGGCGGGGGGGGCAGGGAGCGGCGCCGAGACCCCCGAAAGTGGGGGGAGAGGGGGAAGGATTCCATGGAGACCCCCGAAAGTGTGGGGGAGAGGGGGAAGGATTCCATGGAGACCCCCAAAAGTGCAGGGAGAGGGGGAAGGACTCCATGGAGACCCCCAAAAAGCACAGGGGAGGACTCCAAAGAGACCCCCAAAAGTGCGGGGGAGGACTCCACAGAGACCCCCAAAAAGTGCGGGGGAGAGGGGGAAGGACTCCGTGGAGACCCCCAAAAAGCGCAGGGGAGGACTCCACAGAGACCCCCAAAAAGTGCGGGGGAGAGGGGGGAGGACGCCCGGGGGTGCTGGAGTGAGGTGGGGAAAGGGAAAAGTGAGGAGAAAAGCGAGGGAGTGAGGAAAAAACAGCAGTGGGAATGAGGAAAAAATAGCGGGAATGAGAAAACAACAGCGGGAATGAGGAAAAAACAGCGGGAATGAGGAAAAAACAGCAGGAATGAGGAAAAGAGAGTGGGAATGGCGAGAAAACAGCAGTGGGATGAGGAGAAAAAAGTGGGAATGAGGAGAAAGTGTGAACAGAAAAGGTGGGGAAAGTGTGAAATCGAAAGCGGAAAGGGAAAACCCCGATCAGGGATTGGGGAGAAAAGCGAGAGAAAAAGAAATGAGAAATGAAGGGAAGTAACAGAAAATGAGGGGAGAAAAAGGAAAATGAGGGGAGAAAAACTGCAAAGAAAAATTAAAAAAAAAAAGAGCGGAAAGAAAGGAGAAGTTGGAGAGAAAAACGGGGCAAAGTGTCAGGAAAAAATGAAACTGCGGCACAAAATGGAGAGAGAAAGTGAGGGGAAAGGGGGGAGGGAGCACTGGGACCCCAAAACCTGCACAGGACCCCAAAACCTGCACAGGACCCCCAAAATCCTATACAGGACCCCAAAACCTGCACAGGACCCCCAAAACCTGCACAGGACCCCCAAATCCTGCACAGGACGCACAGAACCGTGAGGGGAAACTGAGGCAGGGAGTGCCAGAACCGTGAGGGAAAACTGAGGCACAGAGTGCCCAAACCATAAATCCTACAGAGGACCCCCAAATCCAGACACAGGACCCCCAAATCCAGACACAGGACCCCCAAAATCCTACAGAGGACCCCCAAAATTTACACAGGACCCCAAAACCTAAACAGGACCCCCAAATCCAGACACAGGACCCCCAAAATTTACACAGGACCCCCAAATCCTAGAGAGGACCCCCAAAATCCTACAGAGGACCCCCAAATCCAGACACAGGACCCCCAAATCCTAAAAAGGACCCCCAAAAACCCATACAGGAAC